GACCATTGGGAAAAGATCCAAAAAGCTGCAGTTAAAGAAGGGGATCTAGAAGTGGCAGAAAAGTTTACTGTGGTGCCGGTACAGGATGGAAGGCAGGGAGCAAATCTGCGGTGGGAGCCATTGACTTATGAGGAAATAAAAGAACTACATAAATCAGCTAAAGACTATGGGAGGGAACCACCATTTTTTAATAATTTATTTTGTGCAACCCTCACAGCTTGTATTTTAACCCTTTATGATTTGAAGTATTTAATGACAATGCTGCTGTCACCAACACAATACACCTCATGGGAGGGAGGATGGAAAAGACTATTAAATCAGTTGTTGATGGACTATGGGGGTAATCAAGCTTTGGCAGCATTGACTATAGATCATCTTGCCAGTGAGGAAGCACACAATCAACCTGAAGACCAAGCCACAAACCTCCCGAGGCAAGCCTTAAGTGACATTAAAAATGCGGCAAGAAAGGTGCTTTTATGCAAATGCCTGATGGTGTTATAAATGTAATTAGACAACTAGGTCTATTGCGTTAACAGCAATTTAATAACAAAGAAAAAGGATAAAATTCAGTGAATTGAATAGCAATTTGGTATACAAGAATACAATTTAGTAAAAGAATACAATTTAGTGAATAGATTCAGGTATATATTTATATATATATATATATGTGACTATAATTTGCCAGTAATTAAGTATGATTCAAACATAAGCAAAACCAACCGGGGAACAGAGAGAGCTTCTCCTGCTACCTCACGTACGAAACCAACTGGAGTACAGAGAGGGCTTCTCACCCTACCTTACATACAAAACAAAGCAATTCAAATTAAATTTATATCCTATATGCTTATACATATTCATTAATGTTTCCTGTAAGTTTCCTCCCACTTTCAATTCTTAAACTTTACATCCACGGCGCATGCTTCTCTTGTTGCTGGGGGTCTTCAGTCTTCTTTTGGTGGTCTTTGCATGAAGGCTTACACTTATCTTTGTTGTTCTCTGGATAACCTTATAGGTTGTGTGTCCGTATGAAGCATTGTGTTAAGTAAGTAAGCATTATGTTCCAATAATTAGCCATGCATTTCATAGTTAAAGCTATAATTTCAAACCTTATGCTTGAAGCTGTTCCAACTTTGTCCATCTCAAGGTCAATTCTGTTTTGAGACATTACTTATCTTAAAACTACATCCTATATGCTATTTTTAACATGTAACATCTGTTAAGGGGTCCATCTGCCTTGTAACACTAATTGGCTTTATTGCTTTATAATAATAACTTTCCAAATAGTTACAATTTAGTTAGCATGAATCATCTCCATTTATCACAATGGCATTACACCTACACTAGACTTTGTAGAAATAAAGCAAGGGCCTGATGAGCCCTACATGCAGTTCATTGATCACTTAAGGCAAGCCCTAGAGAGACAAGTTACCCATGAAAGGGCAAGAGATGAACTGGTAAAGAAATTGGCTGTATCTAACGCAAATTCATAGTGTAAAAAGGTATTACGTGCCCTTCCACCAGAGCCTGAACCAATTCTATTGCAAATGGCAGAGGCTTGCACTTGCCTCAGGACATCAGAGCACCCTGCAGCCCTACATGCTCAAGCTGTACACCAAGGACTTGCTAAAGCTTTATTGGCAAGTTAAATCCTCATGGCAGGAGAATTATTAGTGTTAGTTATAGTGAACAAACTAGGTACTGATTAGCAAATATGTATTAATGTAGTAGAATTATTATGTACAGACAGATATTTTATACACACTGTGTCCCCTTGACATATCAGTGCAGTGCTGCCAGCTTTTTGTCCAGCCAAAAAAAGGAGCTGGTGCGCTAGTTGAGTTCCATGTTACAATTCCCTTGGTGAAGTAGGCTCTGAAAAGCACAAATACTTCATAATCTTGAGATACAAACCCTCTCCACTGATTAAACTGTTATTGCAATTGAATGTGGTACCATAAATATTCTCTCCAGATGTTTATCTAAAGGAAACTTTAGTCTTCTGCTCCATAAGCTGCATGTCAAGGTATCAGTGTCTGCTTGGAGGAGGTGTAAATTGGTTCCTGCAATGCACATCCGGGAGTATCTGATCTGATAACATCTGGGAATTAGTGAGAAAGGGAGAGATTCTCCAGGAAGATGGAAGGAAAGGAAACCAGGAGTGCCAAGTAATGTCTGTATCTGAGCTCTACTGTAATTTGTGGCTGTGCCGAAACCACACAGCAAATTGGTGATGAAGGGAACAAAGAGCAGCTGAGGCAACCCCAGTCAGGAAGCTGAGTGTGGAAGTGCCTGGAAGAGTAATCAATCTGATGAGTTTACACAGGCTTGGCTCAGACATGTTCATGTGAGGCGCTGCCATGCTTCAGGCTTTGTGCTCAGGTATATGATTCAGTCAGAGGAAACCAACCTAAAGAAAAAAATTATTATTCTGGTTTCAAAGTAAGTGTTTTTCTACTTAAATACACCCAGACTGCATAGCACTTCAGCAGTGCTCTCTACATGTGCAGCACAAAGAATAATGGCTGCCTATACCAGAACACTTCCACATGAGATTGGGCTTTATCCCTTCCATCATTTCCACAACTTTTTTCAGTATCCATGTTCTCCCAGGAAAAACAATGAAAATCTTTAAACATTTCCTTTCTCTTTCTGAGCATTGACCCTGAAGTCAGTGGCACATCTGACTGGTATCTGAGAAAACCACTGTGGTCAGCTTTTCCTTCCCTACTGGGTAGTGGTGAGTGATGGCATGTGTGTGAATCTTGACAGAATGACTGAATTTAGTGTCTGGATAATAATCTGCTATTAGTAAGTTGACTACAACAGCTTAATAAAAGGTATGCTAATAAATATTGGTTCATCTGTTCCACACAGACTTGGTCCTGTATGGGGGAAAAAGCAATTTACAACACTTAATCTCAAGGGCGTAATTTATGACAATACTGGTCTTTGCCTTTACCTGCCACTCCCTGTGGTTACTTAGCAAAATCTTCCTTTTCTGGCCTCACTGCTTGTGTTTGTTTTTATTCTTGTACTTACAGTTATAGGAGAGTTTTACAGGCCTCTGCCACTTCAGAAACCCATCCTTACTTCCCATGATAAACAGCTTCACCCTGCCACCACCAGTGCTGGAATTGGATGTTCTGTCAAAGCTGCTCTGTATCCAGCTCCTTGGTTGTCTTTTAGAAATTCTTTACGACTCCAGGTGACTTAACCCTAGAAATGTCTCAATTGCCATTTTCCATGGTTAAACTATTAAACTTGAAAGACAAGGCAAATGTTTACAGGACTTCAATTTCATCTGCTCCTTTAATGTGTTATAATAATATTTCTGGAATCCCTGGATAACACTGGGCATGAAACTTTAACACTTTATTAATGGTACTTCATATATACACTACTGTCTTTTCAAGCAGATCTATACAACAGCAAGTTGAACTGTTCTTCATTTGTTGCTCAAGGAAGTTACACCTAGCATAAACATGGATTATTGTAGTGTTGTGCACAGTGGGTCTAGAAGTGTGTTGTCAAATAGTGGGATCCACTCCAGGAAGGTTCTTTATGAACATAATAGTCATAGGTGGTCCCTGGGACAGAGAGCTTGCAGCTGAAGGCAGAATTTGTGTAGGAGGGGCTCAATCAAGGAAGAAGAAAGGTGCATGTTGCAATGGCATCCAGTGTTTTACACTTTTGAAGCTGAGTTTAAGAGATCAGAAATTACATGGCTCAAAGCTTTTGAAAAGCAGAGATTGAGGGATGGGCAAAAAGGGTGGGGTGCATAGCACAGGGCAGACTCAGATATTCAGGCGTTCAAAAACCACTTTCTTATTTTGTCCTGTGCCTCCAGTTCAGTGTTACTGTTACTTCTGCTTTGCAGCCTTTCCCTAGGCCAGCCTAAGGTAGGGTGTGAGAAGAGATCTGGGGTGGGTCACTCCTTTTCCTTTGAGTCAGTTGTCTCCTGGTGTTTCTGAATCCAAGAAAAGCATCAGGAAAACAGTGGCTTTGGTCATCTCCACTCTTAGGTAAAGTGCTAAAGAAAACCTCCAACAAAAACCCCAATACATACGTATAGGGAATATCTCCTATCTGTGCAGTGACTACTTTGAACTGTTAAAGCAACTTTTTGATACCGCTAGTTTTTACAGACTAATTATGTGAATTTACACAGAATATTACAGATAGCAGTACTGGCATTCTTTAAGCTGGCAGGTCTGGTTATGCAGGTTGCCTAGTCCAAGACTTTGTCCAAAATGTTTGTCAGGTGGTGGTGCAGGACACGGGATTCCACTCAGGATGCCTTTTCTGGAGGAAGTCCAGGCACAGAGGGAATCTTGCACAGCAGGCTGAGGACGGGAAGGCGCAGGCTTTAGGTAATTTTGAAAAAGCTACTCCCATTCCAACTTTTTAGCCTCCCCACCTTGTCTCGCGGCTCTGGAGGCGGATGCGCAACCTGGATCTCCTTCCAGCCGCAGTGCAAGCCGCACGGCCCGCAGCTCGGTGCCGGTCCATGGGCACTCTGCTCGCAGGACGAACTCCCCGCCATGAGCGCCCCCGCCCGGGAGCGCGCAGGGGGCTGGGCCTCGCGGGGTCTGCCCCGAGCGCACCAATCAGAGAGCGGCAGCGCGGGCGGGGGACCGGCACGAGACCAAGGCGCCAAACAACCCTTCCTCCCTCGGCCGCCGAACGGCGCTCCCGCCTTCCGCTCCCCCAGTAACCAATCACAGCCACGATCCAGCCTCCTGTCCCGCCCCCAGAGGAAAGAAGCCAATGGGAGACGCAGCTGCTGCGGCGCTCAGCCAATCAGCGTCTGAACCATTAGAAAAAAAGGAAGAGC